ACTGTTTTGTTACTATTATTATTTAATTTTAAAATTATATTTGTTCATTTTATTATTATTATTTTATTTTCGCACCCCCCCCCCATGCCTTGATGTGGGTCATTATAAAATTACCTGTGCCCGGGCGGGTGGGCTAATGTTCAAAGTTCCCGGAGTAAAAAAATATTTTCGCGAATAACTATATATATATATATATATATATATATATATATATATATATATATATATATATATATATATATATATCATTTAGTCCATATAGCACGCGGACTTTCAACATATAATCAACGACCTCACCAGCCAGGACTCGAACCCTCGACCTAGGGGCGCTTGTGGTAGAAGCGGTACCGCTCTTGCCGCTCTTGCCTCGCAAGCAAGATATCACGGGTTCGATTCCCGGGCAAGCGGAAGTTGTTTGGACTCTCTTCCTAGCCCCCTTGGTCCCTGTTCACCTAGCAGTAAAGTAGGTACTTGTTGTAAATCGAAAGGTTGCGAATTCGTATTAAGGGAAAGTTGTTGGAGCTTCTAAACTTGAGAACTAACACAATCCGGAGGAGTGGTGACCCGAGGATCACACACCCAATACAGACAAAACCAAATACGTGCGCTAAGAGCTAACCAAATAAACGCAGTCGTGTAAAGCCACGACACTATCTCTTCCACTACAATTCCCTTCCTAACCTCCTGCTCCTTCCTCTGTCATCTTCCCCGCTCTGCCTTTCGCTACCAACAACTTTTGGAGCTTCTAACTTGAACTGAACCCTCGACCTTATGCGTGTGACCAGGGAATGCTACCACCTTGCCACAAGGACACGAAAAGCAATCTTAGACTATAACATAATCTAGGATTTTGACTGCCTTATCGCAATGAAATTGTCCCATTAGTTAAGTCCCTTAAATTATTAAATATTAATGTTGTTTTTAAGTATGACTCAACCATTACCAACTTATTAATCAAGAATACCCCAACCTTGAATGTAAATGGAAGTGTTTACTGCGTTCCATGCAGCAACTGTAATGGAAATTATGTAGGACAGACTGATAGAGCATTGCAACTCAGAATTAAACAGCACAAATATAATATCAGAACAGCTTCTGAAAGCAGTGCACTGTTCGTTCATGTTAGGAACAATAATCATCCCATAGATTGGGAAAACAGCTTAGAAGTGTACAAATCATCATGTGTCACAGAAAGACTTCTGGTTGAAGCTAGTATGATTAGGGAATTGAATTCTATAAACCTTAGTGATGGTCAGTACAAAACTGATAATATGTTACACAAATTTATTTGTCAGTGGTCCAAGGTTAAAAATGCTTTGAAAGCATTGGAGTTAGATGAAGGATAGATGATTAGTGGGTCCCATATTTTTTACCTGACTTAACATGACTAGTCACGTCGACCTTTCTCTTAAGCCCCTTTGCGTGGTGTTGGTGTGCGGATTAGTGTATGTCTTGTTTATGACCTGACAAAGTAAGGTCATAAACATAAAGGTCGTGTTTAGTAAGGTCACCCTGTGTACTTAAGCTTCTCTCGGTCCATGTAATTCAGTTGTCTCTGAAGATGTCTTGAATAAAGACGAAAGCTAAGGTGCTCCATTGTTTCCCTTTTCCCTGTGTGATTCTATCAAGACTTAACTTATCCACATTTTCATTGTGGATCTACATGAAATAAGGTCACCCTGTGTACTTAAGCTTCTCTTGGTCCATGTAATTCAGTTGCCTCTGATGATGTCTTGAATAAAGACGAAAGCTAAGGTGCTCAAATTTTTCCTTTTTCCTGTGTGATTTTATCAAGGGTGACCTTACTAAACATGAGGTCAGGTCATAAATACGACATCCACTAATCCGCACACCAACACTACCACACACACACAAAGGGGGCTTAAAAGAAAGGGCGACGTGACTAGTCATGTTAAGTCAGGTAAAAAATATGGGACCCACTAATCATCTATCCTTCATCTAACTCCAATGCTTTCAAAGCATTTTTAACCTTGGACCACTGACAAATAAATTTGTGTAACATATTATCAGTTTTGTACTGACCATCACTAAGGTTTATAGAATTCAATTCCCTAATCATACTAGCTTCAACCAGAAGTCTTTCTGTGACACATGATGATTTGTACACTTCTAAGCTGTTTTCCCAATCTATGGGATGATTATTGTTCCTAACACGAACGAACAGTGCACTGCTTTCAGAAGCTGTTCTGATATTGTACTTGTGCTGTTTAATTCTGAATTGTAATGCTTTCCCAGTCTGTCCCACATAATTTCCATTACGTTTGCTACATGGAATGCAGTAAACACTTCCATTTACATTCAAGGTTAGGCTATTCTTGATTAATATATTAGTAATATCTTATCCACGTTTTCATTGTGGATCTACATGATATATATATATATATATATATATATATATATATATATATATATATATATATATATATATATATATATAAGAACATAAGAACAGAAGAATGGAGGAAACTGCAGCGGGCCTATTGGCCCATATTGGGCAGTCCCATTTACACCCAACCCCTATTGCTCATATAAGCACCCAACCTATGTTTGAACCTATCCAGCGTATTCGAGTTAATGAGTTAATGATGATATTTGGTAACTTGTTCCATTCATCCACTACGCTGTTTCTAAACCAGTGTTTACCAAGTTCGCGCCTAAATCTAAATTTGTCTAATTTAAAACCATTGTTACGAGTTCGCTCCTGGTTGGATATTTTGAGCACCTTTGTAATGTCCCCTTTGTTTAGCCCTGACTTCCATTTATACACCTCTATCATGTCGCCCCTCGCTGTACGTCTCTGGAGGGAGCGCAAATTAAACCGCTTTAACCTGTCTGTGTACTCAATTCAATTCAATTTCAATCGTTTATTCCTTGATAGAGGAAGCGGGATCCTAGTGCTGTCACTAGGTACCCCTGTACAATGACACCAGAAGCATCTGGCAAGTATGACAAGTATATACAGTATAAATATTATAAAGGGGCTTACTAAAGCCTAAGGAAGGAAGGATATTCCTTTAACACATAATCAATATTATTTACAAAATATCTGGCCAGTATGGGGAGGATCATCGTGTCTCCGTGAGGGGGTCGTGGAGTGGTGGTCCAGCAGGCGTCACGGAAGCGTTGTGTGTGGGGACATCTTAGGAGGTAGTGGATAAGGGTGCTGCTGTCGGGTATTCTGTATAATGCACAAAGCGTTGCTCAGGGGATGCGGGGATACCAATCTCCCAAGCAAAGTCAAGGTCCCTAATGCCCAGGATTAGTCTTGTCATTCTCCTCTGGATTCTTTCCAAGGATTCTATATCCATATATATATATATATATATATATATATATATATATATATATATATATATATATATATATATATATATATATATATATATATATATATATATATATATATATATAAAGAGAGAGAGAGAGAGAGAGAGAGAGAGAGAGAGAGAGAGAGAGAGAGAGAGAGGTATAATAGATTAATGAGAGAAACATCTCATAGGATACTACTCGGTCGAGTGTTCATACTTGGAGCTGGCGGACGCTAGCCCCACAATGGGTCAAAGCTCAAGGTTGATGAAGCCACAAGTCCAGAAAATTGTGAGGGTAAATTTTCGGAGAGAAAATTGTGACAGCACCGAGTGTGAGTTCTTTCAAGACCAAACTTGACCAACACTGGCGCAGGTACAGATACTATACATTCATAAGCTAGTACATGCCCAGTACTTGCTAACAGTATGTAACAGACGTGACCGACCGCCCAAGCAAGAGAGTATAAAAGTAAAAAGTATAAGTATAGTAAACAGTGGCGATAATGTACTCACTGTTGTTCCTAGTAACTTCTTACTCTTCACGTGTTGCCTGGTGTCGTCTAGGCGGCAACACGACGACGAACACTATGCAGTAGGAACGTTTGCTTATTTCTTGTAGGTGTAGGTGTTGATGTTGGTGAAGGATATTGTTGAAGGTGTTAGTGTTGGATTTGGTGTAGGTGTTGGTGCAGGAATTGGCATAAGTGTTGTGTAAGATTTATTGTAGGATTGTAGGTGTTGGTGCAAATGTTGGTGTAGGCGATGCAGGTATTGGCGCCATTACACAGTTGTATACACTGCGCCTCCAACAACTCGTATATTTAGTGTTGACATTTCGAGTTCTGCCACGTCATCAAAGGCTTTTACACTATTATCAAGTGACCAGGTCATACAGCACGTTATACGTGTAGCTGGTGGATTCTGTAGGCTTCTATCTGTAAATAGGCGAAGTGGTAGGTATTCATAAATTTAGGTAGAGAAATAGTGGATATTATCGTGTCAAGTCAAGGGTTGGATCTTAAAGATCACATTTTCTCTCATGTTATTGGATGATATTGCTAATTTTTTTTCTTTTTTCTTTTACGGGGATTAACCCACCCGGGCACAGGTCACTGACCCACATCGGGACCTGGGGGGCGAAAATGTAATAATAATAATAATAATAATAATAATAATAATAATAATAATAATAATAATTCAGATACGTAAAATTGATTTAAAAAATACAAAACTAAAAATAATAAATTAATAATAATAATAATAATAATAATAATAATAATAATAATATAGAATCATAAATAAATACAAAAATGAAAAAAAGGATCAAGAGTGAGAAACAATATATGTATGTTGTGTTGTCAAAGGTAAGACAAACAATTGAGACCCTGCAATTGTGCGTAAATGAGGCAGAATGTCAGATCAGCAACCTGGGACTTGGTCACGATTTTTGTGATGCCATATGACAGCAGGGTCTACCATTAGACAACACATTATGCTTCCAATATCTTCCCAGGCGGTAGTACCTCCCTGTTTGGTCTGGGGTAAATGACACAGATTTGGTTCTGACAAAATCATATAAAAATTTAGTGATAAAAAATTATATGGTATTGCTAAATGTTTTTCTTGACAGGACACGAAGGGAGACGCAAGAGGCGCATGTCAGGTAATACGCCACACGTTTGAAGGAAGTTGCGGCTCAGTCAGCGGGTATATAACAGGGCGGAGCGGCGGCTGCTGCTCTCTTTCTCTCCATCTCATCGTCATCATCAGCACGTCGTCCTGAAAGTGGGTAGTGAAGGCTGAAGGCAGAGCTGGTCACACGCTATCACGATCCAGGTCCCGGATTCTTGACAAAGGTTTGCACACCAAGTTTTCTTTGTAATTGGAGACTCAAAAAACATTATATTGTTGGTGGCGGACTTTAGCTATGACAGAGATAACATCCCAATTGGTCCCAGAATTACTCTAGTTTTCTGCCTTAAGTATGTAGATACGTTCTTTAAAAAACAGTTAAGAACAGTATTAACCTCTAAGATTTTCGTGAATCTCGACCAGCTCCATTAACTTGACTAGCACACAGGTACATCCTAGTGTTGATATTATAATGTACAGGGTGTCCCAGTATTGTATATATGACATATTCATTTGTGTAATAAAACAACGTTGTTAAAGAAAAACATAACTATTAAATCACAGTGAATTACAAACACGGGAATTATAGTTTTCTTTTACAACTTTTTTTCTTTATCACACAAATAAATGTGTTAGAAATACATAGGACACCCCATTACTGAGCTTCGACAGTTAAGGTCTTCAAACGAGTAATCTAGATAAGTGATTACACTAGTCAGCAACACTAAAAAAAATGAGAGAGTTCAGTTGCTGCCGCGAAAACACATTTACTTAAAACGTTCTCCCGTGTTACGTCTTCCATGAATCACCATTGATGAGCCTCGCAAAAGTAATTTATTCCATGTTGGTTGATTACAAATGGTTGTCCCGATTTTAAGAATTTCTAATAAAAAGAAAGCGACAGAAGCACAGTTTTGAGTTAATTATGCAGCTCTAGACATCAAAGCGATATTCTGTTTCCAAACTTTGTGTAGCATAATGAACTTTCTAAAAGCCTCACATATTCTTTTCTTCAAATATTCCGAAGCTGCTGGCATTGGTGAAACGATAACTATTTTTTATATAGCGCCAGAAGGAAAAGTAGCTTTGTTAGTTAATTTCGTTACATTCGGTAATTGCTTAAAATCGGGAAGATCATTTGTAAATTATACGCTTCTGTACAGTATTTGTAACGTCGGAGATAATTCCTTCATCCATTTTTATTTAGGAAATGAGATATTAAAGACTTTTTTGTTCTTGTTGGCTCGTATTCGCTTGGGCGATCTGCACTTACTGTACATAAGAACATAAGAATGGAAGAAACTGCAGCGGGCCTATTGGCCCATACTGGGCAGTCCCATTTACACCCAACCCCTATTGCTCATATATCCATCCAGCCTATGTTTGAAGCTATCCATCGTAATCGAGTTAATGATGATGTTTGGTAACTTGTTCTACTCGTCCACTACCATATTTCTAAACCAATGTGTACTTATTTCGCGCCTAAATCTAAATTTGTCTAATTTAATCCATTGTTACGAGTTCTCTCCTTTTTGGATAGTTTGAGTACCTTTGTAATGTCCCCTTTGTTTAGCCCTGACTTCCATTTATACACCTCTATCATATCGCCCCTCACTCTACGTCTCTCGAGGGAGTGCAAATTAAGATGCTTTAACCTGTCTCTGTACTGAAGGTTCCTAATGCCCGGGATTAGTTTTGTCATTCCCTTCTGAATTCTTTCCAAGGATTCTATATCCATTCTGTAATACGGTGAGATAAATTAACACTATATCAGGTTCCGGAAAAAGAAAAAAAGAAAACAAAAAGAGGTGTTTAAACTTGAAGCTTATTGGACAAACCATCAATTTGGGGAATTATTTTTTCTAAAGTGAATAAAACTTGTAAATGACACATTAATTGGTAATGCAAATTTGAAATTTTAGGATGATAATTCATCGTGCTGTACCAATTAAAGTTAAGGATCACCTGAAGATTAAGAACCCTCGATTATTTCATCTGAAGATTGGGCACTCACAGGTAGTAGGTAGTAGGCAGCTATCAAACAGGGAGGTATTACCACCTGAGAAGATATTGGAAGCATAACATGTTGTCTAATGGTAGACCCTGCTGCCATTTGGCATCACAAAAATTGTGACCAAGTCCCAGGTTGCTGATCTGACTTTCTGCCTCATTTACAAACAAGTGTCCTTACTTGGAGCTGGTGGACGCTCGCCCCACAAGGGGTCACAGCTCAAGATTGAAGAAACCGCAAGTCCAGAAAACTGTGAGGGCAAACTTTTTCGGAGTGAGGGTTGTAAACTCTTGGAACAATCTACCAGAGAGTGCTGTGACGGCACCGAGTGTGAGCTCTTTCAAGACAAGACTTGACCAACACTGGAGCGGGTTCAGGTACATTCAGGAGCCGGTGCATACCCAGTATTTGCCAACAGTGCGTGACAGAGACGTGACCGATCGCCCGGGCGGCTAGCGAGCCGATCTTTTGGTGAAGAGGATAAATGAAAAGGAAAAGTAATTAGAGACGTGACCGATCGCCCAAGCGGCTAACAAGCCGATCAGTGGCGAAGAGGATGAAAGTAAAAGTAATTGCAGGGTTTCAATTGTTTCTCTTTGACAACACAACATACGTATATCATTTCTGACTATTGATCTTTTTTTAATTTTTGTATTTATTTATGGTACTTTATTATTATTATTATTATTATTATTATTATTGTTATTATTATTATTATTATTATTATTATTATTATTATTATTATTATTATTATTATTATTATTATTATTATTATTATTATTATTATTATTATTATTATTTTCGCCCCCAGGCCCTGATGTGGGTCATTGACCTATGCCTTGGTGGGCTAATCCCTTAAAAAAAATCATCTGAAGATTAATCATCCTCGCTTATTTCATCTTAATTAGGCACCCAGGCTTATTTCATTTGAACATTAATTTAGCATAAACTTAAATGGAGATAACTTAAATTAAACTAAATTAACCTAAACCCCCCCAACTAGCGTTTGTGGTTTATCTTCAAGGGATATAATCTGGGGCTCCAAATATTTAGGTGAGCCAACGTAAACTAGACAACAAATAATACCAACGAATATTTAGGCTTTGAACTTTTATGGGAAACACTAAGGGGCCCACAATCTCAAAAGATCGTAAGTTAAATGTCTCGCAGCTGTAAATTTACTAACATCTAGCTGGTATACTAAAAATATGCAATAAAAACAGGGAGGCTAACCCCGTCAGTACGTAACACCAGCGCTTGTTGTATTATCTTCACTGTTAATGTTTTAGATTATTCATCAGTCAGGCCAGTATAGGTGGCTGGTGGACACTAAACTCTATAACACGCTATGTGACCGTCGACTTAAGTGTGTTACATCCAGTTGTCCCAAACAGGCCCCTCAGGCTTGATACCCGCTTTCACATCTGACATGGATTGTTGTAGATTGTTTTGTTATATATTCAATTATTTGGATGTAACTAAAAAAATACAGTTAAAATATGTATAAATAATGTAAAAAATACTTAAAGTACAGTAATTAAGATCCAGTAAAGTTTTTGAGCGTTCATGTAAAGTTGTAAATTTAGTCAACTTAATGATTTTTCAGACACCTGTTTGCATTAGCCTCAAATAGGTTTACATAGGTAGACCGTGGTGGTGTTGGAGGGGAAAATGGCACGGCTGCTGTGGCAGGTACTGGAAGATCCACAAGTGTACAAAGACCTACAAAACAACCCTCACTCCTTCAGGTAGGTCTTTCCCCTGTATTTCTCTTTTGTCTCCCCAACTTGTCTCACCTGTCTCTCACGTGTGTGTCTCACAATTATGTCTCGCTCAACCTAGAAATATTGTCTGTATACATCAGCCTCCGTAATTGTTTAACTTTTAACGTTTCACTTTCACACTGAAGAGAAGTAAGTAATGTTGAGATCATAATGAAATTAGTTTAAGGATAAAGTAGATATATAAGAATAAAGTAGATATATAAGAATAAAGTAGTTATTTAATGATAAAGTAGTTTAGGGTAAGGATTAAAATACCTGTAAATTAGACTGATCACCACAGGTTCAAGGAAGGGCCAGTGGTGATGGTGTCTACTATACATCGGCCGCCTCACGTAGAGCTCCTCAAAGATCATCACGGCCGCCTGACAATAACAGGTCCTCTGGCTAACCTTATGGACGCTGTCGCTCACTCGCTTAACTTTACGTAAGTTTAACACCATAATTGTTGTTATTATATGGCTGATATTTTTTTTATATCTTGTTGATTTGTTGATGTGAAAAATTAAGATGAGGCGTTGATGCTGATGTTGACACTGACGTTGACTATGACGTGGACGTAGACTTTGACGTTGAAGTAGACGGTCACTATAATGTTAATTTAGGGAAAAGTTGGTTGGGTGAATCACGTAAAGAAGTTCATCAGTCTTTTTTATTATTGTGGTGAGACACAAAAACAATCTTACTGATGGATGGAAGCAAAGAGGTTTTATGAGAGGAGACTGCGTCAGCCGTGGACAAAGAAGCCACTCTTCACTCATGACGGCCAAGTTGGTATTGACAAAACATGCAAGGTGGTGGCTGGCAAGACTGGCTTTCTGAATTTTATTCTGTGCATTCACAGCGTGCTAAGTCTTTATGCCCAATTAAGTACTGTACATGTGCTTATCCTCATCTAAAATTTTTGATGACATACAAAAGCGTAGGAAGAAAAAGCATGGGAGGTTGCAATAACAATACAACGTCCTTTTGCATAAAAGAAATTGTCAGTGCATATTGATCCAGGAAGTACTCCATGGTAACATTTTCCCATTAGAATCAGTACCCACACTAATAGTGTCCAGCAGCTATGTATATAATGCAGAGATTGATATCAAGGCAACTTTAGTGAAGAAAAAAAAAGAATTATCTGTGATGGTTATGGGCTCAATTCAACAGAGAGATGACGATAAATAGTATATTTATATTACAATGCTGTCCAGTTATCTCTGTGTTTAAACAATATTGCTGCTTACCTAGTTGGCTTTGTAGTATTTTCATAAAAATAAAATCTGCATTGTGAAGTTTGTAGTACCGCATTAATAGCTTCTACTGAAAGCCCGTTGCAGTCTTTGATAAAATTAAAACCTAGGACCTGTCCATTTTTTCATCTGAAGATGTAATTATTTTTTTTAAATATATTCTGAGAAAAAAATATCCTATGTTAAAAAATCGTATCTTTCTTCATACAGAATAGAGCATTTCAAAAATTTTCACTCATTATTATTAGGCTACAACGGAAAGACGTTTCCTGATTTCTCTCTGCATATGTTAAGAGATTGGTCCACTAGAAAATCAAATGATTTTGTTAGTTAAAGCTGTTGCAGAGAAGTACACTAGTTAGGTATACAGTAAACAGTTCACCTCAAGGCTACAAGCTACTAATAAATGAAGAGTAATCAAATCTACACCAAACTTACCATGTTTAATGACCAATAAGGTTCTACTTATGTAAGTTATATTATGTCGATTGTAAGGATTTATTGTGTGCATTTATTTGGATTAATTGTTTAATTAATCACACAGCAATTAATTTTATTAATAGATACAACCACAGTTCGTTTTTGCCAATCACTGACCATTTATACGTGTATGTCAGGAACATTTATACTACCTGCCGCCTGGTGCTTGGGTAGCGGCGGCCAGTAGTAATTGTTTTGCCCACACCAAGATAGCTGTGCGTGGGTCGGCTGGCTTCAGTATGACCTGTGTGTATCGTTGCCCGTGTCGCCTCCAGTCATACCTTGGATGGAAGGAAGGAATTAAAGAAACAAGTGAAATTCTGGACATTAAATTAAGCAACGCAAATATAAAAATACTATGTATTTTCATGTATTTTGTACTACATTGTTCCGTCTTGTTTATACTTACACGGGTAGAATGCGTTGTATGTGTGTGTATGCTTGTCCTGGAAGACCGTACAAAATATTGCGTCTCTAATGGACAAGAGAAATGTGTGTTGTCTCCACTGTTACCGTCATGTTCACCTTCATGTTCACCATCAGGTACAAGATAGTGACGCCCCCTGACGGCACTTACGGCACTCATTCAGCTAACGGGTCATGGTCAGGCATGATGGGTCAGGTGGTGAGGAAGGTGAGTCTACCTGAGTCATGGTCACCCTAACTCTTATTCAACAAGGTGGGTAAACATACCTTGTCAGTTCAGTAAATATGTTCACCACGACAGGAGTTCAGTCCACGCCTCTGATAAAGTCACAGGTTCAGGAGCTTAATGAAACTGAAAGTGATATTAAACCATTTCATTATAAGAACACTCTAACTGTTCATCTGTTGTAATAATGGTTTACAGGGTAGCGTTTGAACACCTTTAGAATGAAGGTTTAGCGGCTATAGGATGATGGATTAATGTGGTTTAACATTTAAGTATGATGGTTTAACACTTCACTACATCATAGTACTTGTGGCTACAGGAGGCCGACGTCTCCCTGGGACCCTTCGCAATATCGTGGAAGAGGAACCAGGCTGTTGACTTCGCTCATCACTACATCTTCGACTACTCCAGCTTTATAAAGAGTAAAGGTCTGCCGGAGATTGACCCATGGGGCTTCCTGTTCCCCCTACAACCCAAGGTGTGGGCGGCACTATTGGCAGGACTGCTGGTGGCCTGGTTGGCAATACTGGTGCTGGGTCACAACCCCGATGGGTCCAGGAAGGTCAACAGGGCTTCTGACCTCTTTTTCCAGCATCTTAAAATTATATTTCACCAAAGTGAGCTGAGGGTTAATTTTACCGTCTCAATATTGGATATTGACTTTATTATATAAAATGAAGTTCAATACCTTCTGTGCTTTTTAATGTACAACTCTATGGCAGGTTGTTCCTTCATACAGATCTGACGATCAAGGTGAAACGTGGCAGTGAGATGGTGTTGTTGGGGGGGTGGGTGGTGGTGGCCATGATGGTGATGTGGAGTTACACAGGTAACCTGGTCTCCTTGCTGGCGGTGCGACACATCCCTCAGCCCCTCCAGACCCTAAGAGATGTGATAGAAGAATCTAACCTCAAGGTCATAGTCGAACCAAAAACTATTTTAACAGACACCCTTGATGTGAGTCATTATTGTGTCACTACTGAAACTTACCGAGCCACTGTATGTCATAATATGAACATGCTACTATTAATATGAACGCCACAAAGAGGTTGGGTAATAAGCCAATTTTTTTATGTGTGGCTTTCCCATTTTTCTGATTGTATTTCTCGTCTGACTGTATTATATTAAGTTAATGATGATTCGCTATGTACTTGAAGTGCCGCAAGCACCTTACAGTGTTTCCCTTACTGGGAACTTTAACTAACAAAAATCGTAGAAACCCATTTATACGCTACACTGATCTTCATTGCGAAATCCTTGTTCATATTAATCATCATTCCTCCGACAATATACCAGTAAATTACCCCATGACCTAGAAGCTCCTGTCTGTGTTACTCTAGATGTCATCAGTGTACTGGTGACACACCAGCCATGTAAACATCTTCCCAGTCTTAAATTAGTCTCTCTCCTTTAGATACAGTGGAACTTCCTGCCCCTGCATACCATTCTCTCCTTGAGTAGACAGATAGATAGTCAGTAAAATCGTCATAAAAGTTCACAATTGGTTCAGCATGTATATTGGTAATGCATATCATATTCAATTTGTTTCCTGGTATCACAATTTCTCATTTACAGTATATGTTTATTTCAGAGTGTCAAGTCAGGCGACCTACGGGATATTAGAGACTTGGTTAATGTTGGTCGCATCAAGTATGAGGTGTCTTCCGATCTATTTCACGTTGTGGACACTCTGGTTCGTGACGGTGATCACACCCTTGCCACCATCAAGATCAGCTTGATCAAGTTTATATCAGAACTCTCCAGGAAGACAGGCAAGCACAGTTACCGAGATCTTAAATCAGATCTGTTCAATTGACGAAGATAATAAAAAAAAGTGACCGAAAACACAACTCAAACTCTTCGGTTAACAAAAGTTACTTCTATTAAAAAATATTCATGTATAATTTGTAATGTAATTTGTAAAACTGCTTGGCAATATTCTTAAGGTATGTTATTTATTGTTACCGCAGGTCGATGTGACTTTTATATTGTTCGCGAGAATTTGATCCACGTCTTCCAGTGTATGGTTGGCCAGAAGGGAAACCCCATAGTTCCTGCCATGAGTCACAGGTGAGTTATAACCAAGGTGGACCGGCTATCACTTCTTTCATGACTGTTTATAAAATGTGCAAAAAAATATAATTAAAACATCGAATTTTACATTAATATCTGTTAAAATTGTTCTCTGCTTCCCTCAAGTGTCTGGCAATTTTTTTCTTAAAGCTTTTCTGTAATAACTGTGTAGTGTATGGAGCTATTTAGAGTCCATGTTTAAAATCCTTGGTAGTTGAAGCACAGAAACTGAATTCATAACACTGGATGGAAAATATATTCCAATAACAATTACAAATATGAGTTGACTATTGACCAGGGATTCCATATAGAGTTACCTAAGAAAGTTTGTGGTTCAGGATCCGCGCGCTGGTGGAGTCTGGCTTGTATGAGTACTGGCTTATGAGCAACATCCCCTTTATAGAAAACTGCCGCCGCTCACCCTCCAAGATCACTGTGATGGAACCCCTGGCCCTCACCAACCTGTGGGTGAGTAGTTATATTACCTCACACACACACACAAGTGCATCAAATAATTGCATTTTCTACAGGCTCATGGTCCTGTACTTCTTACATTCATTATTGATACCCTGACCTTCATATAGTGACACATTTAGGGTATTTGCATTGTCCATATTCATGTAAAATTTGTATGAAGTTATCTTACACACACCTGTGCACCTTCTAAGACCTTAATTGGGCGTCTAAATAACTTTCACTTCTTATACGTAACACTGACTGTCGCACATGTTCCATTCTCTAATATTTCTGTATTGTTCATAACCTCATGTGTAGTTCATTCGTCTTCTCGTAACCATCCCTACCCACTGTTTACACTAGTAAATTTCTTACAAATATATCTTTTGTTTTGGTCGTCAGGGGATGTGCGTGTTGCTGGGGGTGGGACACCTGTTGGCGCTCCTCACCTTCTGCCTGGAACTCTGCGTCGTCAGATGTGTCAGTGGCAGGACCTCATAGACTCTGGCAGTATTTCACGGGGAAGATGATGACCATGATAGCTGGTGATAAAACATTATGCTATCGTTCAACTATCTTCACCTCACCGCAGCAGCTAATGACGGTGCAGACTCTTAGAACACTTCGCTGAACCAAATTAATAATTACACCTTCACTAATTCTTCACAGTAACTCACGCTGTCACCACCAAGGGTCAACTATCTCAGCGGGTGACAGAATTCCTCACCGTAAAATATAACGTCACGTTTCATTCAGATATATTATCAGTTTTAATTTTACCATTAAAGTGTCTCAACTAAACCTCTTCGTTTGACATAAATCAATGTTTTCAATCAAACGATAACTGACCAAAGATAACATTCTCGTATCGCTGTGACTTTTGTCTACGATATGTTAACCCCAAAAACTTTAAATAAAATTAATCGAATAAAGGGCTACCTATTTGGGATCACCTGAAAATTCGCCCCCAGTTTATTTCACCAGAAGATTAACCACCCTAATGCTAATTTAACCTAATCTGACATAACCTAACCTGACCTAACGTAATTTAACAACTTAATCTAACCTAACCCTCCCGCAGGTACCATAAGTCGTTTAACCATTTGGTGAAATAACAGGGGCTGATCTTCAGGAGATATCTTATTTGCATATGTTATATAACTTCTAAATGTATTCGACACCTCACTAGTGAAGGTGTTCTGTGAAGTTCAAAGTGCCAATCACCAGAAAAAAAAAGAGATCTAAAGTAAAAAGACTGATATATTGTTTATTTTTAAGAAGCAAAATGTGTCGTATATTTGGAATTCACTCGACGAATATATATAGTATTTCGGTTAAGGCAATCTGATCATCTTGTTTGAGTTATTTATAAAAGATAGGTAACTGGCTGTACAAAACTGATGATTGTAAAAAAAAAGAAGAAAAGATTAATGTAATCAAAGAAGAGGAACTATATCTGTTAAGAGTTGATGTTATTCCAAAATAGGAGTAAAGTTTTATTTGTAAAATGTTGATCAGTTGTGTGTCAGTCAACGCGTTTACGTATGTGTTGTCTGAATCCACACACCACCACACATACTACACCTTATTTGTTCATTACACTATCCAGTACAGTTACAGAGTTCTTTCTCATAAGTTTTTATTGTCATTGGATTATATAGTTATGCGTTTAAAGACCTTCATTGTTAAAGCGCAGCAATAACATGATAACAACCAGTACAGACAACACGCAAGCACAACTGCTATAGTGACCGCAAGTGTAACCTAGCAGTGATCACTTTAATCCTTTTATAATTCTAAAAGTTCAGATAGGCATCATGCAATGTGTCCAGTTAACTGTAATTAAGATGTAATAAATGTGTTCAAACTGCAGCAGTGTTTTGAATGAACCCAAATACAAGATATATTTAATGAACCAAGTGCAATTTAAGAAATATGTAATGCCCTCTGAACTGTTTCTATCATGGTCCCGAATCTTAAATATTTCTATATTAAATTTCTACTTTAGTTACGATAACAAAGTATTTCTTTTCAAAATCAAACATATATTTTTTAGATAAACTTACCTTATAAGACGTGGACGAACAAATAATACATTGTAAGTGGAAAATTTAGTACACAAAATTGTTTCCTATCTCTGATAATGGGCGCGACATCGATACAATATTTTATTCACCTATGTGCATGTATGTTAACTAATTAGAAGTAAATGGGATGATATTCTATATTTAGTCATGTTTCCCCTTCTTTGGGAAATAGGGCGACCTCCCCGAAAGGCAAAAGGCTGCACATTCCCCGTAGTTATTTGTTTCTTTCACTATCTTATTGAGAATGACATCGGTCAGGAATATATTTGAATATTCAATGAGGGTGTGCATTATACTGTATATTCCTAGGTCTCATATTACGTGGAAGGTACTACCGCCTGGGAAGATATTAGAAGCATAATATGTTGTTTAATGGTAGACCCTGCTGCCATATGGCATCACAAAAATTGTGACCAAGTCCCAGGTTGCTGATTTGTCTTTCTGCCTCATTTACACACAATTGCAGGGTCTCAATTGCTTCTTACTATTGGCAACACAAGATATATAACTTTTCTCACGATTGATCTGTTTTATTCTTTCTATTCTGTTATTGTCCTATGAAATCTAGTCCTTTTCTCTTCTATTTTTAATTTCTTTTTACTCTTATTTTTCGCCACCCAGGCCCCGTTGTGGGTCGATGACCTGTGCAAGGGTGGGCTATTCCCCGCAAAATCCTCTGGGGTATAAACACATGCCTACCCATATTACAAGACGGAATCACTACCTTCATTATCACTTATTAGTGTGTAATCACTAAAATTTTCTGAGACATGAAAATCACTACTGATGTCTGTACCACTCATTGTCTAACACTAATTATATATAATCTCTAAAGACACAAATGGAGCGCGATAAAAACTCAGAGCTCAGCACAGTCAATAGTCTCTTTTACAGATGCAAGCTAAAAATTCTGATCTCATAAATGAATGAAATGATATGACAACATCATATAATCCTAATTCTTATTGGTTAATGATTCTCTTGAAGGCGAAAAAGTCACTCACCTGCCAAATCAGGTGGAGACTAGGATAAAAAGAGGAATGATTATTATCCTTGTATGAGAAACAAATTAAGATATGGCCCGGAATAATAGGTCATTTAGTATAGCTCATCGAGGGATGTGTTCCTTCCCACGCAGTTTGGCTGTTCCGATCCCCCCCCCCTGTATAAGGTTTCTCTACACACACACATTAGACGATTTAGTCAATGTGATAATATGAGCATAAAGGCAGCTGTGAAATTAAGAGACTATAGCCAGGAATAATAGGTCACTCAGTATAGCCTAGCAAATGACAGATGTTGTAATATAGATTTTCAGACTTCTCCCCTTCACAAGGTTCTCCCATACACCAGACAATGTATTTAGTAGTCAGTGTGATAATAAGCTAATCCAATAATAACCAAATGTTTTTATTTCTTATCACCAGAGTTTTGACGGCTCAATTTTGGTCCGATTCAGCAGCAATCTATGAACCCACCATCAATGTTTCCCTGTCCGTTTTTCCTTTGATTTACGCATGATTTTATACAAACCCAGGATGTTTAATAGCAAATCATCCTGTTCATATAAGGCTCATAGCTTCGATGAACTAGGAGCCATCTTTCTTGTCCTTTTCCCGCTAACAGAAAGACGGTTGCATGCAAATGGAAACAGGGGTGTCCGTTTTTTAGGGCAATTTAACGCAAACGCGTACTGCAAACGTATCTAGGGAATCCTAGTATTACTCGTACGATGATCACTGGCTCGACTGGTAATGAAAACATATCTACTAATTACCTCATTTAAGATGTGACGTAAAGAAAGTGGTTAAAGTGGCTTTCAAACTACACTAAGACTATAAGTATGAGAACAGTACGAAGTTGTGTGTAAACTGTTATTGCTCATTATCAGATCATCTGAAGATTAACCCTTCCAGAGGTTAGCCACCCTAACGCTAACCTAATTAAACTTAACCAGATTTAACCTAACACCACGTAGCTTTATGGAGTTCAATCATCAGGTGAAATAAGCTGGGGGCTAATCTTCAATGATCCATTTTTGTTTTGTTTTTGTTTCAACTGCCAGATTATTAAACAGCAAACTCAAGGTTTTGGTTTCTGTAAAACATATAATTTTAAGAATTTGAAAAAGTCTGCCCAGTTGTAGGAAACGGTTCATAGTAAATACACAAATGCAGTTTGAAAACATTTATTCTCATATTACAAACACAATTTGATGTATAATAGATATATGTTGTTGCTGTTATAATGTTATTACTGCGCTTCAACAAGGAAGGTCTTGAAGGGTGTAACAAAGTCAGTAATACACTAGTACAACAGCAATACAAAATAATGAGAACTCACCTCTAGATATGACATCATAAACTGTATTTTTGTATTATTATATAGCATCTACAACTACCTTTATAAAATTATGTGCTTTGTGAAAATTAAATGAATTAAAAAATGTACGACAATGTTTATTATTAAAATTGACAGATATCATCAACAAAATAGTTTTATTATCTAATTAATTTGTACTCGTACGTCCAAACTAGGTGCGATATACCCCTGTATACTGTACTTATATTTTACTATTGTGTATATTTTCAGGACCGGGTCATTATCATTTTCATTAATTTACAGCAATAATATTTAAAAACTTTCCTAAGCGCAAGATAACTTTTGTGATGTGCTGATTTGTGAAATTGATTTGCGAAATTATAGTGATGTGGGAAGCTGTGTTGATGTGCGAGGCTGTGTTGGTGATGGGATGGTAATGTGTGAGACTGTTGGTGAGAGAGCATTTGACGAGATCTACAACGAACTAACCTTATAAAAGAATGCCAATACGGTTTTAAACGTGAACGCCCCTACTTGACGCAGTTATTTAAGATACTGGCTGTGTAGAAGGAATCCGGAGCGCGGTGGCAGTATTAATATATACTGTACCTAGACTGCCAGGGCATTCTCATGAAAGGCTGAAAGTTAAACTGGAAGGTTAACAGACTCTGGGGGAACGTTCTATAGCGTGAACTTTCTTCCTCACGACCACAAGGAGTGTGTGGCGGTTAATTGCGTGAAATCGTCTTATGTACATTACGAAGCCGTGGCTGATAAATTTTCAGGTGATACTCTCTCCGCCCTCTTGTATATTATACTTCTCAGCTGATTGGGTGGTGAGGCCGTCTTGAGGGACAATCACACGTGTGCGTTTTTCCTCCAATCACCGGTTAAACGGAGGTTTCCTCTAACCCCCAGCTTGTTTTCTGAGGGTTGGAGAACGCTTGATAACTCTTGCCTTTAACTTGGTATAATTGGTAAGTAGTAAACACTTTGGTGAGTATCAACTGCTTAATTACTATTTACCTGAAGATTAATAAACTCATTTGATTCCAGTTTACCCTCTTCATTACATATCGCTAAGTCCGCCATGTTTGTTGGTATGGCTTAAGGTTGGAGATGGACACACACAAGGTGTGCGTGTTTATGTGATTGTCTTTTCTGAGAAGCAAATCTGACCAAAGGTTGGAGGAAGGTGGAAGGAAGTTGGAGAAAAAATGCATATAAATTTGCATAAGCGCACCCAACTCTGTTAGAAAGAAAAAAAATATTTTTTTCCAGTGTATTTATGTGTTTAGACCGATTATGTGACCTTCATTTCCGTCGGAAATTGGCCGGTTTTTTTCTCGATTTTTTTTTTCGTGGGGCGTTTTCCGAAAAAAATTAATGGCTAAGCGAATAAAAAAATAACAATAGGAAAAACATAAACCAAACTTAACTGACTCTCACCATAAGATGGAATCTTACCTAATTGGCCGTCTCTTCTTTGTCTTTGGGATAAGGGACGAGTTACCACAATGCCACATATGTTGGTCTTGACGATATTTACATTCGTTCTTTCACTTAAGACACTTTACTGAGGTCGGGAGAACACCATGAGATGGAAAAAATGATTTAGTTTCTTCGTTTTTCCCCCAAAAACTCGCAATCAGCTCTATATAATTGAAGTGACACCCATCGCACACTTCCATGGACGGAAATGAATTTGAATTTGGAAATATGAGAGACCCAAAATAAAAATCGATTTTGATTGGGCAAAAAATACAGCGAATTAAACCACAAATTGTAATTGCTTGCCAAAAAATCCCAGCTTTTGATTGGTCGGGTGACGTGTACGGGAACACATGCGCGTGATGATTTATGAAGGAGACACGCAGTGTGGGTGGTGAGTTAGGCGATAATGACGGAAGATTAATGGAAGAAAATAGACAATTTTGGATATGCTATCTCCGTTATTATATATTTGCGACGGTAATGTAATAGAAGAAAATTATCTTATAATTAGACGTCTTATTCGAATATGGTAATAGATTAGGGGTAGGAATGTGGGGTGCGAAAATGCAATATAATACCAAATGCACTGTGTGATAGCCCTTGGTTGTGAATGTTATGTCGGCCCCCAGGGATCGACAAAGATGGGCATATTTTCTGGTGGCTGGGACGATAAAAATGCACCTCTAAATCCCACTTTCTATGATGTGCACCCACAGTAAACATACAGCTGGAACAACATATATTAAGGTAAATGTAACTGTTTGTATTGTGACCTCTTGTGCTTTTTAACAAGAATATATAACTGTGATTTTCTGGTGTATACTTTTAGGAGCTGTCCAGATTGAATGAATTAAAACTAATGAGACGTTCTAACCCACCACAGAAGATTGAATATTTTGAAAAAGTTGAGTCGAACCACCTTGAGGCAAAAGCCTTTCACCAATCTTACTTGTACTTCCATATGAGAAA